ATAAGTTGTTGTGTGAGAAGATTTGTGTAAAACATTTTCAAATTATGAAACTTTATGGTAGTTGTATTTTTACTTTTGCTTAACATTTTTATGGGGTTGAGGTTTTTTAGGTTGATCTGCACTTTCATTCTTATAATTCCATCTAAAAAATACATTTTTGTATCTTTATATAATGGACAATGATTGGTACACCCTATATTTCAACACACAGCTCAATACTCTCTGATTTAATCATTAAAAAATCACTATTTTTTAATCTGAAATTAAAAACAGACAAGTATAATGATACAATCATGCACATAGGATATAGGAACCGACTGAATTGACTGTATTTATATTATATTTTTAATAATTAAACCAAAAGGTATTGAATCGGGTATTGAACCGGAGGGTGTACCAAATATTTCCCTTATATAATACTATTGCTACAAAGTTTAATAATCTCTTTCCAAATTTAGTTGTCATATTTTGGGTAAGCTGAAGCATTTTTATTGCTATAAAAACCTCAGCAATAAATATGAAATTTTTACGTAATATAAAATTTAAAGTTCTAATAATTGTGCTTGTTTTCCGAATTTTTAATAAACTACAATATGAGGAAGATAATATATATAAATGACAAAGATCAATATCTTGGAATAACAATTATTAAAAATTTTATTAATTGAAATTATTTAATAAGAATTTATGTATAAAAAATTTCAACTATCATTCATACCATGATATACACAAATATCTGAAGTACTTAATATTTTAATCTTAGCTATATATAAAATTGCCTTGACAATAAAATTTTCCTGAAAATTCTTAAATAATTACTCATTAGACTTTAAAAATCCTCAACAAATACACATTGAACTTTAAAAAATCATCATGATACCAAATGTGTTTTAAAAATTTATAATAAATACCCAATAGGCCTTTTAAAAAATATCTATTAAATAGTAATTTAAATCTAACATGTATAATATTGTACTACAATAATAAAAAAATAAATTACTAATATGGAGAGGGATTTACAAATGGACAGTGATTGGTACACCCTCCGGTTCAACACCCTCCAGTTTAGTTATTAAAAAATCACTATTTTTTAGTCTGAAATGAAAAACAGACAAGTATAATGATACAATCATGCATACAAGATACATGAACCGACTGAATTGACTGTATTTATATTATATTTTTAATGACTGAACCAATGGATGTTGAATCAGAGGATGTACCAATCATTTCCCTTTACAAATATATGTATACACACTCCCACATATATAAACACATAGAGATAATTATCAATTTAAGAAAGACAAATGATAAGAGATACGTGTATTAAGTTAAGTTTGAATTAAAAGACATAACAATAACATAAGTATATGATAATGAAACAAATCAGAAAATTGAAATTGCTTCAAAGAAAGATGGAAAATGATTGATACATGCTCCAATTCGACACACTTTTTGATACCATTGTGGTTTAATTATTAAAATGTAATGTAAGTACAACTGATACAGTTAGTTCTTATGTCTTATATGTACAGTTGCATTTTTAATTTTATTTGTCTTTAATTGAAGACTATAAAATAATAATTTTTTAATGAATGTGTTGTATAGTATGTTAAACAGAGGATGTACCAATTAGTGTCAAAGAAAGATATATAGTAAGACACTATCTGGTACACTCTTCAATTTAGTATGTTATACAACGTATTTATTAAAAAATTATTATTTTTTAGTTTAAAATTAAAGATAAATAAACTTAAAAAGACAATTATGCATACATGATACTGAAATCAGTTAAATCATTGTATTTATATAATATTTTAATAACTAAACTGCGCAAATATTGAAGGCTGTGTCAAACTAAAGGATATACCAATCATTTTCTTATATAGAAACAAATTATGAAAATTAGTTTTTATTTTTTAAAATTAAATTGATTAAATTTTTAAGTTTAAATGTTTTTCATCCCTACAATTTAAACTTCTTTTTAAATTAATACATTTAAAACTACTTATTACGAAAAAATACTCTAAAATATATTTATAGTTAATTATTATTATAAAAACTTATAATTATTAAAAAAATTAAAAAATATATATAGACAAACAGTGTAAAAGACGACTTCAGGTTTAGTTAAACATAAAAGTTTGAAGTAAATAACTAATTAACTTTATATGTGGTAGGATACAAATACTGACCTACACCTAACTTTTATGACTTACACCTTTTTCTTTTACTGAACACTTAGATTGAAACTATTCGAGAAGTGATTGGGATACATTCTTATCTAACATATTTTTTTATATTTATTTGATTGGGTTATTAAAATATATTATAAATATAATTAATTTTATTAATTTTTATCTCATATATAATTATATTTTTAAATTTATTTATTTTTTAATTTTAAATTAAAAAATAATATTTTTTTAATAAATATATTACGTAGTTCGTAAACTACTCACTCCTTCCGATGCAAACACGTGGAACTAGCTAGTTTGCACCTTCCACATGCTATTGCCTTATTACCACCATTATTGGCTTGCCAGATCCAAATGAGCGATTTGCAAATGCCGTGCGTAACGCTATTTCCAAAGGGAAATATTATGAAGTACAAGACTTAATTGGAAGCAAGCCAGATGCAATATCTATAACCTTTGAAAATGGGCAAACTGCTCTTCACATTGCAATTACTGCTGGTCAGGTAAGGGTTGCTGAGGAATTGATCGTATGGACTAATTCAGCAAACAGTCACCACTTGGGGATAAAAGATAAGAATGGCAACACAGCTCTTTCCTACGCTGCTCGTAGTGGTATGATGGAAATTGCAAAACGCTTGATTGGAAAGAACAAGAACTTGCTTACTATCCCAGGAGGCGGCAATATGCTCCCGGTTCAATTGGCGTGCAGGGCAGGCCATGAGGACATGACTCGCTACCTCTACCGCAATACGCCGCAGGAATGTCTAAAGGGAGGCTATGGCTTTTACCTCCTCGAAGAGTGTATAACTAGGAAAATGCTTGGTAAGAGCTCTAACATTCATCTTCTCTTTCTATAATTTTGTTATTTCATTTTTCTCTAACAAATTAGCTTAATTTGACATATATCAGATATTGCACTCCATCTCCTCCACAGCTTTCCAAAGTTTGGAATATATAGAATCTTTAATAAGGATACTAAACCGATCATTCTAACTCTTGCTCAAACACCACCAGCATTTGTTAGAGAAAATCTGCTAGCATTTTGGAGACGATGGATATATAAATGTTAGTATCGTTTATCTTTATCTCTTTATTTTTTAACATAATTTCTCTTTTAATATATTTTTCGGCTAAAAAATAGAGTATTTTGGCATGTTGTGCATGCCATCTTTCTTTGTTTTCCAATATGCTTATCTGAATTTTTTAGTGTATTAAATGCTAATTTTTTTTATTGCAATTGTAACTGAAGGTACAAGATTGAAGGTAAATAAAGGAAGTGTTCTATCCGATGGTGTTGGCAGTGTTGCAGCTCAACGAAGAGGTATACTAGTTATGAGTTTTATTTCCTTTTTCTCACTGATAACTTCTGTAGAGATTGTTGGCTAAATAGAAAGGCAATCATTTATTATACCAATGAGGTAACTTCTTTTTTTTAAAAAAAAAATTATGAATATAACTCATTCATGATAGGGACACTGGTTTGAATACCCGAAATTCTTGAAAAGCAATAATATCCATCAAATGAGTCTTTTTTCCTTTTTCTTTTTTTGTTTTTCATTCTGTTTTTTTCTCCTTTTCGTAATTAGCTTTTGTTATTGATTCTCTTTTTCTCTCTCTTTTTTTTTTTTTTTTTTCGGCCTTTTGTTCTTAATTCTTATTAGTAGAATTGAAGCAAAATATTTATTTTCTCAACAGCTAAGAAAATATATGATTTAAAGTTGATGGATGAAATTGCCCGTATGATCCTACATTTTATATGTGGGCAATTATCAGCTTTGGATGAGAATGAATTTGTGCAAAGTGGAGCAGTGGAAGCAACCTTTGAAGCTATCAAGAATGGCATCCCTGAGATTGCAATTGAAATTGCAAAAGTTAATACCAATATATTATGGAACTGCACTGATTCTGAAGATTCAAGGAACATGTTTGCATGTGCTGTAGTACATCGTCAAGAGGAAGTGGCACAATTTCTTTATGAATTTAATGCAAGAATTGGTACAAATATAGTTTTTACCAACGATCGAGATGGAAACAATTTATTACATTTAGCAGCAAAGTTAGCTCCTCGTTCTCGCCTTGAACATATCTCAGGTGCAGCTTTCCAGTTGCAAAGTGAGTTACGCTGGTTCAAGGTAACGATCTCATACTTTTATATGTTCTGTCATTTTAATAAATTTTATATTTTGATGTCACATGTGGCTCCATTAATTCGGTATAGTAATAATGAGTTTCTCACAAAACATCTAGAATAATATTTTGAAATTAATTAGGCAGTGGAAGGCATTGTTCCACAGTTCTACAACTATCATAAAAATAAACGTGGTGAAACTCCTTCCGAAGTGTTTGTTAAGGAACACGGGCAGTTGGTAAAAGAAGCAGAAGAATGGCTGAACAAAACAGCAGAATCTTCTACAGTCGTAGGTGCTCTAATCATTACAATTACGTTTGCTGTGGCTTTCACTGTTCCTGGTGGGAATGATCAAAAGACAGGTTTCCCTATATTTTTGAACAAAACAGCAGACTCTTCTACAGTACCTTCTCCAACCATGCCGTTCATGTTATTTGTAGTGTCAGATGCAATTTCTCTTTTTGCAGCATCTAGTTGGGTGCTAATGTTTTTGGGGATTGTTAGGTCACGTTTTGCTGTTGAAGATTTCCTTAAATCCTTACCCGTGAAGTTGATTATTGGCATTTCTTCACTCTTCATCTCTGTTGCAGCAATGATGGTAGCATTTTATGTTGCTCTTTTCATTATGCTACAAGGTCGCTTGTGGATAATCATACCAGTAACTTTGCTTGCTGGTATTCCGTTCATTATGTTTGTACCGTTACTATTTCCTCTTCTTGTTGAGCTTTATACTTCGACTTTTAGGCTAGGCATCTTTGATAGTAAAAAGAACATCAACATAGGAAAAGGAAGAGAGAAATAGAATTTCTGTTTTTTATGTTAGTAAATAGGCGAGTGTGCTCTGTTTGTATTGTAACTGCAAGAAATATTTAGTGGATGTGTATGATTTGAAGATTTCATATTCTTTTGTAAGTGCCAAACTCTTTCGGTAATTCATAGAGTGCTCCAAATATTCTGTCATAATATCAAAGATATAGAGCCGAAAATTGCTGGAATGCATTTGTGCAAACATAAGGACATGTGCTTCTTAAATAGTGAACGGCTGGCTTGGGTTGTGGTGGATTTCTTTGGCATGTATGGACAATATGGAACACTAGAAATGAGAAAGTGTTCAGAAATGGACCTGTACTGGAAAGAATGTTTGACCCAGTGCAGGTTGGAGCTTTCCAAAGGATAGAAAACAAAGGGAAGGTAAGATACTTCTACTTTCAAATTGGCTCACAAATCCTAGTTATTGCTACATCAAATGAAAGAGTAGGGTGTAAAATATGAATTGGACTGATAGTATATGGCTATATAGATTGGTATCTATTGATGACCACTTAAAAATTTATCAAAAATGAATTTGAAGTTTTTACCTACTCAAATTATAGGTAAGACAAGTTATTTAAAATAGTTTGCATAAAAATTGAGATTTAGGAGTTTATGAGGAAAGGTATACATCCATTTCATAATCCTCTATATAAAACATAGTTGGTATATTTTTAATATTGGGTTTTAATTCAATTTATTTATTCTTTAGGTCTAAATTGAGTAAGCTTGAAAAGTAAATGAATAAAATTTTAACATTTGAAAACTTTTAGACTGAATTGAACAAAATCAAGAATACGCATGCACAATTACAACAAATCAAAGGTTAAGAGGCTGATTTGATAAAATTTAAAACTTAAAGGACTAATTTGAAATTATTTAAAAATTGTGTACAAAATTGCTTGATCACAAAATGTTTTAGGTGAACATAAAATTCAAATAAAGACAATTTTTACTTTTTAATTTTGAAGTTGATTAAGGAGAAGTAAAAATTTTAAAATTAATTAATTCAGATAATTTAAAATAATTGTTAGTATTTGATTTTAAATTTATCTTAAATTAATTATTATTATTTTTTATTTTAATTTTATTATTATATATTATTTTAATTAATTATTCTATTAAAAGATCTTATTCTACCTTTTAATTTTTTTTTAAAATAATATACATAAAAAGTTAATATTTATTTATTTTATCTCTTAAAAATTAATAAATTTTCCCCTTAAAGATTAGGTACCATTCCCTGTAACAAATGCATGAATTGCTTCTAAATTCTTAATAAAAAAATAATTAAAAAAAACCAACTAATACTAATCAAATCATCACGATCATTTTATTTATTTATTTTTTTGTTGTGTTTCTACCCTTAAACCTATTGGGTCGGGTACCCGACCCATAAACACGATCTGTCTATCAAAATAAACAAAAATGGAACACACCTGTTCTCCCCGCCCAGATCGAGTGGTTTGTCACTTGCCGGGAACACCACCCGTTTGGGTGTTCGATTCCCCGAAACCCCCTATCAAAACCTACGCACAAACGAAAGAAAATTTAGGGTTTATGTTCGGCCAATTCTGATTTCCATAAAAGAAAACTGAACTAACTTCAATGAAAATGCAGATTCATAACATTCAATAAAACCAAACAGAAAACAAGGTAACATGCTTGATTCTCATTTATTTTCCTGCAAATTCATACAACTTAACCACAGAGCATCAAAGTATTTACAGAGAAAATCAAAAGTAAAGCACCCATGGCGGAAATTTTCGGAGAGGACAGATCCGCATCCGATCGGAGGGATCCCACCCACGGGATTAGCTCCGATCATCTCCCTCACTACCTCTCCAAAAACCCCTGTTCAGAAGGTTACCTAAGGCAAAAATCAGTTCCCAATTCCAGCACCAGACCCCTTGTCCGAGCCGCACTCCTTCGCCGAGGAAAAACTCCAGCAAGAATCACAAGCTACCGACCAAAAGCTTCCCACCGGAAAAAGCCCCAAAAACCAGAAATTTTTTTCTTCTGAAACCAATACTCAGAACCACCAAAAATCTTCCCCAACAACAACTGTCCTCAAACCTCCCCCAAAAAGAAAAGTTCTTCCCTTTTTTTTCTTTTTTTCTTTTTTGTTGATGTCGACTCTCTCCAAAAATCCCAGATCTCAACTCTGTTTTTTGGTTTTTCATTTTTTTTTTTTTTTTTTTTT